CTCATTCAGAGACACCAGGCTTGAGTTGTGCAGTGGCAAATTTCAAATCACCACCGATAAATCAACCGCCAGAATCATTGCGCGCCTTATACTGTAATATTTAATTTAAAGTAATTGAATTTAATTTTTAAAAATGTGGCAACCCTTGTGAAAGACTTAGAAATTATTCAAAACTTTCAAACTAAAGGTTTCTTAACAATATTTCGTTAGAAACCCATATTTTAATTCTTCAGATAGGTTACGTATAACCAATTTATATTTGACTTTTCAAACAGGTGGCAACCCTTTTCAAAATATAATCGAGCTACAGCTTCTTTAAGCCTCTTGACGTCCGATGTTTAATATAATTTTCAAATAAATAACTCCCTTAATTGAAGTTAAATTGGATTTTTTAAAAGGTGGCAGCCCTCATCTATGAGTAGATAATGATTTTATATATCTCCATACCAAGTTCCAGTAACCTATCAAAAATATTTCCTGAGAAATGCAGTATGAAAAATTCCGTTTGCATGGGCGGTGCCACGCCCCCTTGTCTAATCGAGATTAAATTTATCCTATATTTTAAGTTGGGCTAAATGACAGCAGTATACAAGATTTCATGATGATCGGTTGAGTTTTTAAGGCGTGAAAGCGTAGCAAACAAACAAACTCACTTTCGGATTTATAATATTAGTAAGGAAGTAAGGATAAGGATTTGGTATTTTTCTATTTTTCTGATTAAAAAATTGACTTTGAAATGTAGATGCTACAGATTATAAGTAAAAAAAAGTGTGAGTACCGGTTTGTCAGGACTTAAAATTAGACGGATGTTTTAGAGAATTTTATGTAGTTTTCGAATATATAATTGGCTCTTTCACGCGATTTTGCAAATATATGAAATTTTCGTATTTCTTAATTTTCGAATTTCTTAATTTTCGATTTTCAGCTTCTTTTTGCGTAATTTCGCGAAAAGAATTTTTCGAACAGTGGAAAAATCACACCAAACATTGGGAGAAAATAAAATATTTACACCTATGAATGTTTTAAGTAAAACCTTTGTTTTCTGAGAATGAAAAGCAAGAAACAAAAATTATCCAAAATTCCATCACATTTATTTACTGGGCCTACATTTTTTACGCGTTGTCGACGTTATAGTAATCCAATCTTCCTCATATTTTATATTAGGGTTTTCTAAGAGTACACTAAGATTCATCGAATACGGATGAAATTTAATGAATTTAAACTCTCTAAGGGCGTGTGGGATTTCTTGTAGAAAGACCAAACATGATCAGAGAATAGCCCTGGATAGAAAGAATGAGGGAACAACACTGGTGAAACAATGCAGAACTTTGACAAGCCAAAAGCTATAGAAGGGCCGGCAGGACGCTTCTAGTTTACCTCCATTAACAGAAACTAAGGATTATCACAGGGACACACATAAGCAGCGAGTTGAAGACCCGAACACAAAATAAATATGTGAGATATTTATATCCTCTCTCTTTGGAGAATATACGCTTCGAGAAATTTTTCGATCCCACCGTGGCCAAGTTTGCCTAGAAACTCGAAAGGTCGTAGTTTAAATCCAAATCTCGCTAGCGGGAGCATAGATACATTTTCTTAAAAGCAGCTTGCAAGAGGCGAAGGGCATACCAATGCGTTCTTTGGCCGGAACAATCTGCTTGGTCGTACCCCTCGTCGCAAGTTCGTCATCTTTACTTTTTAAATCAGTATGAAGGGCGTTTATCACCTCTATTATAGCTGAGACCTCAGCCTGGAAGAACCTACAGTAGTCCGGTAATCGAAATAAATGGCTCAGGGCAGGGCTGTGGGAGAAAAACCCCCTCCCACTCCACCGTACAGGTTTGAACCATATGTGAAAATTACTATACTACCGGGTGAAGTGTAGTAGTTTTCGGCCCGTTTCTCCTTGCTTGAGACTTTCATGACGAAGTTTCTATCCCAAACCAGAGTTTTAACACAACCATCTGTATAGACCAGAAGAAAGCTATATTTCTCCAGAATTCAGGAGTGATCCAGAAATCCCGATTCCCATTGCCCTGTCTCTCTTAACTGGAGTGCAGCAAGAGATGCGATCTGATGACCCACTAGATCTAGTGGCAGAAAATCCAAGAAGACATTTAAAGCATAATTTTGCGTTGTCCGGATTGTTCCGCTAATGCTGATCATACTAATCCCCAGTACTTTGCTGAGTAGATAAAGATTTGAGGCCATGCTCAAGGCCGGCCACTTTACTACAATTCCATAAAGGAGAATCGGTCTAACCACCGCTGTGTAGATCCAGCGGAATATACTCGGACTCAACCCCCATTTCTTACCGATGGCCCTCTTGCACGAATATAAGGCTACTGACGCTTCATATAACTATGCTCTCCTTCCAGCTCAGAATTTTGCTTTATTCGTAAAGCTTAAAAGTCGGCCGTTTAGTTCAGATGAGTCATTAGGGTGGTGTATCTTCTCGTAAAGAGAACAAGTTCGACTTTCTCCGAATTGATGCAGAGGCATGTTGATACATCGCGAAGTGTAAACTGCATCAATTCGCGAAGAGTTTGCGGGAACTTGCCCTATATGCGATGGCTACGTCATCCGCATAAGCAATGACCTTGGCGCTTCCCTACTTCGTCTCTCGCAAAAGAGAGTTCATGCTTAAGTTCCAAATGAGTGGCGAGAGCACGCCACGCTGTCACCTATCTTGAAGGCGAGTTTTCGCCGACGTTTGCCGTGATCACCTTGCACAAGAGCATTTGCCTTATAAACTCCAACAGAGAATTGTCCACCTCTAGTCCCCTCAAAGCCTGTATTATGGCCGCTGAATTTATACTGTTTAAAGCTGCCTCAATGTCTAGAAAGGCTACAAGACAATAGTCCTTTTAACTGAAGGTTTCATCAAAACTGGCCAGGATATGCAGCGTCGCACAGTGGGACGTCCCCATATAAGCTGCGGCCAAAAGTAGTAACCGTACTAAAAATTCGCCGAAATTTCGTATATGGGCTGTTCGGCACTTAGGAATGATGAACTGTGGAAAATTGTAAAATTCAACGCGCTACCACGCCCACAACTCTTGTGGGCGGAAATAGTAAATGTTATCCGATTTTGATGAAATTCAGAGCATATGCTGGTTTTAATGAGAAAAGCTTAAATCTGAAAGATCGTCAAAATCGGTTTAGATTATCGTCCAGTAATTCTAGAAAAACAGGCGCAATTTAAAAAAAGTTTTTTTTATGAAATTCGGTGTGCCCTGCTCGTTTAAGCCTAAATTTTCCAATTTGGAACATAATAAAGAGCTTCTTATTAAGGCGCTCACCTCCTACTCAGCTTTGTTGGCTCCAAGTACTAAATTTTATGGATTTTGGAGAAAATGAACAGGCACATTTATTTAATTTCTAAAGAATTTCCTATTTCTTCATTTTAAAAATGACAAAGCGAAAACATTTACAATACCTGCAAATTAAATTATGTGCACGATATGTATTTACACTGAAACTTTCAATTTTACCTACATTTTATACAACAAAAGCTGAGCTAAGGCAAGCAGGACTCCTGTCATCGAAAACGGATCCCGTCCAGAGAAACGTCCATTTTTGGCTGAACGTTGATTGGGAGTAATAGATTGGCGAGTCATTAATATCTAAACCTTCTTTAATTTCCACTTTATATTGCATATCTTTCATTTCCTTTTTGCTCTACAATAAAAATTCAATAAATTTTACAGGAGATGGGTCTATAAAAGGAAGAATAGAAGCTGAACTCGCAGTTCCTCGCAGCTGGAACTATTTGAGATATGACACACATATTTAATGTTTACTTGTCCTAAGTATAATTTAGCTCGCTTCCTAGGTCCTTTTTAAATATCCCTTTTTAAAGTAAGCACTCGAAAAATTTTACACTCACAAAATTATGTCGAATTTTAAGGTAAACTGTTTTATACATTTCAAAAGATGTATAAAAATTTAAAGCAATGTTTGACCACAGATATATTCAAAAACTGCTCATCAATCAGATTGGCTTTTTATATATCCGCACAAGTGGAAAAATGAATTCAAATTACTTGCGACAAAATGAAAATCTTTTCTTACAAATTTATTTTTTCGCATTGCTGCTACTTTAAGCTCGTATCATGATTGCAAATATGCATTTTCATCCAAAATTCTTTTTGGTTTGGGTTAGCTGGATATTTTGCTATGCATCTGCGTAATTATTTTTTCAGAATTCGCTTATCTGTTTTTACTACTTTTGGCCGCTGTAGTCCCATAGTGCGTCGTCTGCGTTAACTTGTCTTTCAGATAGGCATGTTGATTGTTAGCCAGTAGTCGACTATCAATGGTGGAAGATAGGTAGTTACTAACTATCCTTTCTAGGGTTTTAAGCACAAACGAAGAGAGGCTAATCTGTTTGAGAGCCTTTGAGTTTATATGTGAAGGCTTATAGGCTTTAAGAATAAAAACAACGGAGACAGATCTCCAAGCTATCGGCTAACTGCGTCCCTAGCCTGGCGCGTAAAGCACAAAAGAACTGTCAAAAATCGTCATGTCCATACAATTTTTATCTTTTGCCCAAATAACGAGGCGCTAGTTAGGTAAATGCGGTGACTGGCTCGATTTAAATAAATATCTGAGTAAGAACCTCAAAATGATCAGCACAATTCTATAGTATTCGATATAACAGATTAGGGATATTCTCGAAGTCTTGCAAAACCCATGCAGGGTGCACGGATTGCACGGCTTGCAAAGCTGTCACAAAGCACAACCGGTTTTTACCATGCAATCCGTGCACAGTGCCTTGCAAGGCTTCGAGAATACCCCTATTGCGTTGCAGCTGTAACATTTGAGCCACAACGTTAAGCCGAATATACGAAAGTATTTCAAACATGCCTTTCAGATACATATGTGTATGTATGTGTGCAGGTATAGACTAATGCACAAAAGTGTTCGAACATAAGGACTTCCATCTTCTATTCATTATTATACGTTAAATGAGAATAAATGAGACATTTTAGACATACCGTGCGATAATTTTACATTAGCCAATGTAGCGTTGGTGGCTGCGGCGCACGCGTTTGCTGAGACTGACGCTGTTGCTGTTGCTGTTGCTGCTGCTGCTGCTGAATGATGGCGGTCCCCAAGACAATGCTCAGCAACCAACGTTGATACTGTGGATCCGTTACTACGTCCAATGTGTTGTCCAGTTGTGGTGTTGCCGTTGTGGCTGCAGCTGCTGCCGGCCGAAGAATTTGAAGAGCAGCCGGATGAGGACGACGAATGCGATTGACAGAATGAATGGAGACTGCTGTTGGCGTACAGTGTACCTCCACCATTGCCGAGCGCGATAATGTGTGCGACTGTAGCTGCTACACTGCTGCTACCGTTGCTCGTTGCTATCGGAGATGTGGAAGCAGCAGATGAGACTGATGAGGCGGGTGTTGAGGAAGTGGACGAAGGGCAATTGCTGGTGGCACTATTGCAAGATATGCCACCGTTTGTGATTGATTGTGTTGCGCTAGCTGAGCCAATATAAGCGCCGCAATTAGTGGAGACAGCGAGTGATGTGTTGCTACCGTTGAGCACTTTAGACGATGAATGATGCTGATAAAAGGACGTACAATCGTCTGCCAATAGTTTTAGTGAATCGTTAACTTTAGCATTTGCGATGGGATGAGAAGTTATTGTACTATTTCCAACGATTAATTGCGCTTTTGACGCTACTGCCACAGCTGCGATGTCTGCAGCTATTTCTTCTACTTTGGTGGTGGAGTGTGATTGTAACGGCGGAGTTGGTGGGGAGCTAGTGGCATAAGCATCGGATTCAAGCGAACCAGCGTCGCTGAATGCACCCTGCGTCGATGAATCGTCAGGCGTGTCGAAGAAGTGCAAATTGAAATCAGAATTGGCGTCAAAGCTCACTTCGGGCAGTGGATCGTCTTCGTCGTCGCAATCGTCGTTACCATTAATGTCACTAAACGACTGATGATTCTGTTGGTCGATATGGTGCTGTTGTTGGAGTTGGTGTTGGTGTTGGTGTTGATGTTGGTGGGTGGTGTGATGCAATTCGACGATGTCTGCGTCACCGGCTGAGCCGGGCGTATATAGATTATGGGATTGACTACTTGTATTCGTGTTGTTGTTGCTTTCAACGAGACTCGAATGGATTTGCGACTGTTCCAAATCTACTTTGAATACATCCATGTTTCGCTGTTGTCATCCTCCATTGTCAACATTGTGGATACGCGAAAGCAACGATGTAAATAATGATGACGACGATTGTTAGAATGATGGTGATGACGATTATGACGAAGAGAGATATGTGTTATGTTTACACAAAAGTCGTTGGCTATACTCGTAGTGGCTTTTGGTTGCTGTTACAGCAGCTTGCTGCGTAGGAACGCAAGTGCAACATGGGACGCGAACCGATCAACACGAGAAACTACGCGGCATATTTAGTTGGCTCGTTAAACAATTTAAATTAGAGTTAGAGTCTTTTTTCACAAGGATTTATTATTTTTCGTTGTCAAACACTTTGTTCGTAAAAGACCTGAGAGGCTGTGGATACAACAAGGATTGGCCGAGTACTTCGGAATTCACGGAAAAAGGATGCAGATACTTACTTTTTGCACTGAATGAACCAAAATAATGTAAAGCAAATGTTGATGGCTGCTAATCACGACATTTCGGTGTGGCAATTATATTTAACTGGCATCATTCATCGAAAGAAATTTTAAAGGTGAAATGCGAGACAAGAATTGAACTATTTAATTGGGGAGCATATACTACATTCACATACATACATACATATGTATGTAGGAAGCTACGAAGGCTTAACTGGCTGATATTTCACTACGAGCTTACCGACATGAAACCTCAGTCCAGCATAAATATTGAAAAACTTAGTGAGTACCAAATAGTGGTGGTTTCGCAGGTTCCACATCGACTGACGACGCTCCATTCCGAGCGAATTAATTGGACACCAATCGTGGTTCTTAAGAACAGAGACTGTAAATAAAAGTTATTTTTAGAATTGAAAATCAAAAGACAAATTATCGTATCGCTTTGTCGAAGAACCATTAATATAATTACTGGAATATAAAGTAATTTCCACACGAGCCGCAAATAACCATTTAGCTTTGCATTTTTTAAGCTGGAATAGTCAAAGCAAAGAAGGGTCAATTTATTCTGGATTTGGAATGAAAAACTGGTCAAACTTTGCAAAAGAGAAAGGTAATTGGCGAAGTTTTTTATTATCTTTCTTCTGTTGCGTTAAATAAGGGGCAGCAGAATATAATGAAATGTTTCGTGTTTTTTCGTTTTTGTTTGTGACTTAACCAGATTTTCTCAGAGAGAACCGTAAGGGTTTGTGGGTATTATTTTTTATTTTTTGAGACTTGGGACTTTCTCGCAGTTCCTAGTGCTGTGGGTTTTATCAGGAGTTTTCGAGTTGTTCTTGTTTGATTTTCGAAATTTTTCGGGAGTTTCTCCGTGCCTTTTAGATTTTTTCGGAAAATACACTAAAATCTTAACTTTGCATTTTTTAATGGTTATAAATGAAATAAATAAATCTGTTCAAAAATTATATAAGGCAGGTTATTAGGGTGGTTGACTCGATATTTCCAAACCGGTTTCAACCGGTTTTATTGAGTAGTTTTAGGCGGTTTTTTGAAAACTTAATTTTTGGAATACCGACTAAACCGGATTTTTACAATCGAATAATCCGGGTTCCGTCTATCTAAACAATCTAAACTTTCTAAGTATTAGTTTTATTGAAAATGGAATTTTATATCTTAATTCTGGAAAATTTACAACTGCAGAAAAATACATAAAAAACAAGGAATTTTTAGCAAAAAAAAACCGACTTCAACTCCCATATAAAAAAAATATATATATATATCTCATGATCCGCTGATCGGATCTTAACCAGATTAGTATGGGACCACCTCGAAATCGGTTGACGTGGTCCAAAGTTATGCGGTAACATACATAAAAAAAAAAAAATAAATAAATATTCCGACGAACTGATAACCTCCTCCTTTTTTGGAAGTCGGTTAATAACAGGAAAACCGAATTAAAATCTTCTTCAGTTTTTTTTTTTTGTAGCAGCTTACTAAACTCTGTATAAATCAATGAATTGACTGCACATGATGGCATTCATGGGGTGAGAGTTGCTGAAGGTGTCGATTGATTATAACTGATGATTATCGAGGAATGGTCTTGTCTATAATAGACTATATACTCGGTCTGTATTTGTATATTCGGTGGTTGGTGTATTCTCATTCCCAGGACAGTCGGCTCAACATGCTCGAATTTTTCCCAACAAAGGACTGTTGTTTTAGCGATCTAATGTTATTCAGATCCCCATTAAGTCAACCCCCATTTAGTGGGAATTTTTCCACTAATTTTTTCTGTATCACTTCTAATCCAAAATACATATTGTAGATTTGGTCATGATTTCTGGACCAACAGCAAGTGTTACTATAGAGCAAATATATGTTTTTTTTTTAATAAGGAACCGGTTTTTTTTTTAAATTTCCATTTTGCGAATAACTCAAAAACCGGGTTTGGAAAAAAGGCGAATAATGGAACCCCCTATAGGTTATAATATTTTTTACTCAAAATAATGAAAGTCAATATTTACTAAAATTTTTTGTATTTCATTACAAAATGCCTGCTTAGTAAGGTCTCTGTTGTGTGAGGAAAAAGAAGAAACAGTTGAGAACTTCGTCTGCAGCTGCCCAGCTTTTGCTAAGAGCAGAGCGGGCTTTCTAGGTAAGCTCTTTTATAGTTCTCTTACGGAGCTATCCGATGTAGGAATAAAACTATGTAGAATAGTCACTGCGGTTCCCGTGTTTCAAAGTGGTATCACAATGGACCTGCAAGGTAGACATGGGTAACACTGCGCTGAGTGGCGCAATTGCGTTAACACCGTAGCCGGAGTTCAAACGCCAATCCCAATATAAGAAAAGCGCTAGCACCATTAACACCAAGAAACACACGAAACCAAGCGGAATTCGTACATGTACGACATTGTATGTATTTTGTTTATGTCAGAGAAACTCATTTTGGTAAATTTAAAAGCAAGCATGATCACAGAATATTCAGGCACATTCCTTGTAATTAAATTAGGTTGGTGGCTGGCTTTTCTAGTACTTCGCTATTTAAAAACTGCAGTGGCGAATTTTGTGCAATTGTGCCTTGGTACAAGCATTTTTCAGTGTCAACAATGAAAGAAAGAACAGAGATGACACCACTGTTTTGTGTATGACACCACATTTTAAGATGTTGCCATGTTCAAATGAATGGCGCTACTGCGCCGAGTTAGTGCTCTGACACCAATGATGGTGCCGGCATTATTGAGTTAGCGCCACAAAAATTGCGTTATTGCCTATGGCTACTGCAAGGTCTAAGTGAGTTGGCCATTGTTTTTTTTTTCAAAACTGTGAATATTACTGGAATGGTTCAAAGGAAATCTTTACAAATGCTACTCTGTAGTCGTTTATGTAATGGACTATCCTTCATATTTTTCACGGCACTATTCGTAATATAAGCATTACGAAGATATTTTAGAATTATTGTGGGAATTCCGAGTTCAGCACGAAGATATCAGGTTTACTAGGGCCAGCAACTTGGGGAATACCCTGCCTTCTAATCCGTAAGGAATGACCTGAGTACTAATTAATCGGTTAAGCTGGCATATGCCGGTTGAGTTTGGCAGACATTAGAATGCGTTCTAATTTACTGATATCATATAATATTAAAAACGAGTTATTCCATAGCCCAAGGTCAGGATAATTGAATGTACATATTGGGTCATATGAAAAGTGTTTGCGGATTTTTGTCACCATGTGGTGCTGAGGCACATATGTACATACATCTGACAACACCAATCCAATTGCATCAACTGAGCAATCTGATCACGGGCATATCTTATTGTTTAGAAACTAGCCGATGGTGGAAGTCGAAAAAAACTGAACGAACGAAAAATTCGATACCTTGGAAAGCTGGCATGAGTATAATTATTTATTGTTGTAATTTATTTTCAGACATTCTACAGTTTTTAATCCTTCACACAGGAATTTATTAGCCTAACGATTTAAGACCTTTCGAAAATTGTAAGCTTATTTGGAATGCGGTGTAGGGTTATGAGTTTTTACTGCGAGTATAACTGCTGAAATGGCAAGGGTGCGGTGGGTTTTCTAGCACAGCAGTTTGGCTCAGTTAACATGAGAAAAATATTTTATACACTTCCTGGTAAACTGTATTAGTTTAAAAATTTATCCATAATCCTTATTTGACTATCCTTTTGTATCCATTGCAGCAAGAAATTTGTTGTTTTTTCTCGCAAGATGCGCTGCACTTATTCACACTTCCTTCGTCTGGTTATTACTTCGTTGTTTTTGCAAGCTTTTTTTTTCTTTCCGCTGCACTTTGTATAAAATGATTTATCTTTTAATGTAAAAGTGCACAAAACCGCGTATACAATGCATTTATATTTTTAATAATTGACAAATTTTTGTCCACAATTCACGTTGCAACACTCGATTCGAACGCGAAACTAAAATCTCGATGACACAAAAAATTAAAAAAAAAAACACCGACAAATCACAGTCACAGGCGGTGGATGTCTCACAGACGACGAGTTTATATTTCTTAGTTGGCTGAATGCGCTTGCTTGGTTAGTTGGTGAACTGGTTGATCAGCCGGCTGATCGGCTAAGCGTTTTAGCGGTGGCTTGCTTGGCTGGTGATGATGATAACGCGCTAAACTTTATTCTAAGGGCAAACGGTTATGTGTCCATGCGCGCGAACATCCATCAAATGAGGAAGATGGGGAAAACCTCATCCTAGCCACGAACAAAACGGCAGACGAACGTAAACGGCCCAAAACGAATCGTAAGCGCGGAAAATACTACATCGCACAAGCTGCGAATTAGCGTGCTAGCGAGCCAAGCGTTAGCGTCGAAGCGCTCCAAATGCGCACACGAAATCCAAACCAAACTGTAGAACCTTCGGGTATAGAAGAATAAGAACAAGAACTCAATTCCCTGCTCCCGAACTCCCGAGTTAGTGGCGAGCGAATGGGCGCGCGAATTGGCGAAGAACTAAACTAACCACACCAGAAACGGCAGCAACAACAAAAACAAAAACAAAACGGGCGGTTGTACCACACACACACACACACAAACAAGCACAGCACAG